CTGGCTTTCCCTCAGCTTATTCCAAGTTTGTTTCGCGGTTCTGTTTCTGCCACGTATTTCATAACTGTGGGCTAATTTGGCAACAGGCGATATAGACTAAATCCCCGATTGCATAGCCACAATTATTCTGCTATGTGCAAATCCTAGCAGTCAAAATACAGCCAAAGACAGAATATGTCTCATTTAATTCCTGCCTCAAAATAAAAAAAAAAAAAAAAAATCTGTTTTCCTACACTGCTCATTTACTGAAGGATCTAATGAGTAGTGGAACAAAGTAATATTGCCATCCTTAAGTCAGTCATTCATTCTCTCTTAGTACTAGCCTTAATTTCTTTTGAAACGGATTTTGCTGTTTCATACTGATGCAATAAGATAAGGGAAAATACAACTCTTACTCATTGTCCCAGATTTTGCTTGCTTTGGAAAAAGCCTGGAACATGCAGTTGTTGTTACAGTAATTACTCATATTTTTAAAACCACCAAAGGTAACTTCCAAGACCTCGTGTGCTAAACTAGAAAACATAGCTGCATCAGTGCTGGCTGTCCTCTGCATCGTTTGAAATTACATGAAATGTATTTTAAGGTTCAAATAATCACCTTTTGCACCTGCACGTAGCAAATGATCAAAGGATTATCTTAAAACAGGCAGTTGCTGCTTCTCAGGTTTGCAAGCCGCACCTTTTGTTTTGGACAGATCAAAATAGGTGATGGGGTTAAAAATTTATTAATAAACGCTTATCTATGTTAGCTGAAAGCTTAATGTCAGGACACAAACATACTTCCTGAAAGTTTGATGTTGTCATTCCAGCAATGTTTTTCCTGTTTCCACAGCAAGCTTGTCATAGAAAACTCTTCATGCTAACAGTAGATCTTAAACCAAAGACTAATTTCTTCATGGTTGGTCTGCTTTGTCATTTCACACTCCGGTTTAGTTGGGCCTGAGTTGTAATGGACACATGAAATAAATACTTTTTCTTGCATAGTTGAGGGAGAAGGTTTTAAGTGCCAAGTTCTATCAAAACATGAGATACCAGAGAAATCACTGCTTCCCGACATTTTTTACTTACCCGCAGTCCAAGAAGAAAGATTTTTGTGTCTGCCTGCATACTCCATGTACGTGAATCATACGTGTGTAAGGGTCTGCTCTTCTGCAGAATGATTGTGCTGGTTTTGAACCCTAAAAATAGGAGCATTTCCTGAGGTAATTCTTTAGGGCATTATATGATGTTGACTCTTTAAAAAGTGTTTTCACTGAGTTGTTTCTGCAATAAACTTTCTTGCCTCTGAGTTTTCATCTTTATTGTGTTTTTTCAGTTATACAATCTCAGAAAGAAAATCCTTAGAATAGCAAGGTTTGATATTCTTATAATTGGCCATGTTTTATTCCTTGATTAAAACATAATGGCATCAAATTTAATAAAAAGTGGGTGATTAATCAAAAAGAACTGAGCAGATCTTTCACATCTGTGCAGGCTTGTGCGCAAGTCAGATAATCGTAACGAGGAGGTTGCTTGGAGGTTCGGGAATCATAAGGGAACTAGAATACTTTGGGGAGGTAACTCAGCAGCATCACCTGTGGCTTTGCCACGGTTTGAGGTTGTGTTTTTAAGCTGAAATGCTCCCATTTCCCATTGTTTCAGTGAGGTTCTAGTTAATATTTGTGAAATGTTCTGGGACTGTGTTCTCTAACCACAAGATGTTTGAAATTGGACGTTCAAAAAAAAAGAAACAACTCTCAAAGGAAATGGCCCTCAGAGAAAACAACCCTCAAACTCCTGTATCTGTCAAGTTGTAATAATCTTCTGTTCTGATAGTATTTCCTATTGCTAGAAATGTAATCGTTTTGAAGTTAGATTCCAGCAAAAATTTTCCTTGGCTATGTTGACTATTGCTAAAAGTTAGGAAAATAGCTCTGTGTGTTTGGGTTTCTTTAGTATACGAACAGTTTGGTTCTTTACCAGCATAATCTGTGAGTGATTTAAAAAGCAAAATTGTCATGTCTGTTTTGTTGGTGTATTTTGTGATGCTGCTGTTGGCAATACACATGGAAACATAAGGGAGTTTGACTATACTGCGGTCTGTGATGAAGGTGCAATTTTGGAATTACTTCTGAGTTTGTACACGCTGACAAAATGCTCGATTAACTTATTAGGATCCAGTATTCAGAGCGCTGCATGCTCGCTATGTTAGGGTGCAGCCCTTCACTGTTTGAACCTCACGTTAAGTTTGTAGGCAAAGGTTCTTGCCCATCAGAGGGGACGTTCTGACTCATGTTAAGGACTGCTGGTGCACCCTGTTCGTAAAGCAGGAGAGCTCATAAAGTGTGGACGTTTCTCATAGTGTCGCGTGCGTCCACAAATGCTCTTTTGAGGAGATTTAACTTAAAATTACAGGTGATACTGAGCTCATGCCCGAGAGATTGCTTTGTCTCTAATGGAGTAAGATTAGGAGTTGTGTTACTTCTAAAAATAGAATGATTAAAAAAGTAGAAATCAATTCACGTGGAAAAGCTGCAGATGTGTGTTCTGGTAGTCTTAAGTTTCATAAACTGAGGATGAAACCTGGAATTGAAAATAAAGTAGTAAAAATGCCATACAGGCCTGTCCAAACCAGTATAACCCATAAATGGCCGGGCCCCGGAAGGGTCAACTTAAGGAGGGAGTGAAAGCAAGCGGAAGGACTAGGACAGCCTAACCGTCTCTATCCTAAAGCTGTGCTTTCTGAATAGTGCGCAGCAGGAAGTCACGGCCCTGGGGGTAACACATGGATGCAGTATCTGATGAACTAACTTTAAAGCTTCTTATGTTCTTGAGCTGCGCAAATCCTGTGTTGTTCAGTTGTGTTCTTCGCAGCAATCCGTTCATATTGGCATTGTGTTGGGTTTGGGTCGGCTCGCTGACTGTGCAGAAGCTTGAAGTGTGTGGATTACATGGAGGGAAGTGAGCTGGGGGACTTGTAGTATCGTACCAGAGAGAAGAATTTTCCTTTGGAAACAGAGAAATTCTTCCGGCTCCCACTCTTTTGTTGGAGAGGGAAATCTGAAAAGATCAGCCGTTCTTGTCTTCTGGCTGTTTGCTCTCAAAGCGGAGGTGGGAAACAACATGTTGTGTAAATAGTTCCAGCCTTGCATCGTGGCTGGACTTGGACTCCCCTGGTTGCTGCATCGTGCTTACGCCTTATACTTTTGTCAGCTAGAAATTCTTAGGGAAATAATAGAAATAGTTCTGTGCTTTTAGCTGTAGATGCTGCCTAAGTGGAGTCTCTTACTGGGGCTAACAAGTCGTCACGTTCTTGTATTCCATTACGTACACAGATTGTTCCTTTCCTGTCAGGAATCAGATATTTCTCGGCATGTGATACGTTTTCATGCCTAACTATTCTGGATTGAATTTTTACTCCAAAAGAAATTGGAAAAGGCCAAACAAGAATAAAAATTAAGCTGTAAATACTCTTTCAGGTAGTTGTGAGAGGAGGAAATAAACTCTCGGTATAAGCCTGATAGCTTAAAGATGTTTTTAATGTGTTCGGTCGAAACATATTTTGTCTTCTCTGCAACTGTGATAATCTCTTCAGAATAAGAGAGATTGTTATGAGATGCTTTTTTCCTTGGTTCTAATACAGCATTTAAACAGCAGAAAAAAGTTGCGCTGTTCTTTACAGTTTATCTCCTCTCTTTTTTGCCTTTCTTATAGGTGAAATAACAATGGATACAATATTATCCCGATTGAAGCAGCTCACCTCTGACGAGCTTAGAGGAGAAATTGTAAGAGCGGGACTGAAATGTGGGCCCATTACTTCGACTACTAGGTTTATTTTTGAAAAAAAATTGGCTCAGGCATTATTGGAGCAGCAAGGAGTGTTGGAGGAAAAAGGATCTGCTCTGTCAGAGGCGGCTGCTGGAAATGTCCCATCTGATGGCAGCCAGGCAGAAGCACAAAAGGCTTTGAAAACTACGGCAGTGAATCACAACGGCCATGGAAGTGTTTCTGAAGAGGTAGACTTTGGGTACTGTGTAGGTCTGAACCCTCCAGAAGAAGATGCTGTGATGCACATGAACTGTTCAGCTCCTGTCTGTGGAGCAGGATGCGTTGATTCACAAATCAGTGCTCAGACACCGTCCAGAGATCCTCCGCTATTCTATGGTGTTTGTCCAGTTTATGATGACATATTGGCAAGGAATGGTAGATATTAATTTTCTTTATTTCCAATGATAAACGTTTTACAATCATGTCTAAATAGACCTTTTTTTACATAGCAGGTGGTACAAACGCCACTGTATTAGTATTTTAAGCATTGCTTGAAGTAATTTTTTGTTTATGTAAATGGTATTTATTGCATCTTCTGAGGCACGGAAACAGAAGACATCCCAGGTGTTCTGCAGTAATAGCTGATACACGTGAGGATCCTCTACTCGGTGTAGCTCAGATGAAGAAAATTATTTCTTACTGCTACTCTTGTACCCATCGTATGCCTTTAATCCCTCTCCAGAATAAAAAGTAATCCTACACATAAACAGTCAAAAAACTATTTATACTGTCATCAGTTGAAGATTAAATGATCTGTCCTCACAGATTTTGGATTTTCCTTTCTATCTTAATGCCAAATGATACCTAGAAGCATCAGTCATTCTTCACATTTTATTGATGAATACTGCAATAAGTAATTATTAAATTACCTAGTGGCAGGATTACAGTAGTACACAAAGGATCGCTTACTCTGAGACAGTAGTAAGTATTCTCATAAAAAGGATACTCGGATATCTTAATTTGATCAAATTGATGCTAATGCAAAAGGAGAGGAGGGAGAAGGATTTGATTAATACCTAAGGTTCTATGTAGAGGTCTTAAAAGTTGTGACAGTGGATCGCTTACATAGTTGATCTTTCTGAACAAGAAAACGTGGAAAATAACGCAGAGTGAATAAGCTCTGAGTTTGCTTTTCAGTCTGGATGTGAAATAGCGCTTGTTGAGGTTGGCCCATCTCTTAAAAAGGTTGTTCAGATACTGATTGATATGAATGGCCAAACACTGTACGCATATCACCTGATGTTAGCTGGAGCGTGTAAAATTACTCAGTTTCTGAGAGAGAAAATATAAAAGGTCTTTTGATTCTTACGCCATGTTTGGTAGAGAAACAGTTTAAGACCAAAGCTGGAAGGATAGCCCAAGAATTTTGTGATCTGTTTCTAGGAACAAATCTGAGATTACTGAAATAACTTAACTTGGATTGTACTTTGTTGCAGAGAGAATACATGTTTATGAAGATAAAAAGGAAGCTCTCCAAGCTGTTAAGATGATTAAGGGTTCCCGTTTTAAAGCTTTTTCAAACAGAGAGGATGCTGAGAAATTTGCTAAAGGAATCTGTGATTATTTCCCATCTCCAAGCAAGTCCTCTTTATGTTTGTCTCCAGTGAAAATGGGATCATTTAACAGAGGTGAGGGTGTTCATCTGTATACAGTAGATGCAATATACAGTCTTATTTTTTTATGAGGGAGGAAGCAACAACTTCATAACCCATATACTAGTAATAGAACAAAATTCAGAGTGAAGCATCTTAATAAATTGAAGTCCTTTTAGAGCAGTGGTGTTTAAGATAAGATGTAAACAAATGTTAGATCACAGCTGCAGAGCTTATCAAATAAAATTACTGTTTAAGTAGATACGAAGGCAATTATCGTCATTTTGGTTCGCATGAATTTTACGCTAAAAAATGTTGCTGTTCTTCTAAAGCTGAAGCGTTGGTAAGGGCCTCCATGGATATGTAGCTTAGTAGTCTGTGGTTATATTTGGTAGGATTTGATTTTACTCAGGGACTTCAGGATTTTCAGGTTTAAGAAGACATTGAGAAAATTGCACAGTATATTAACCTGTACTTAATTGTTAAGTGAGTTCATAAGTTCAGAAATAAAATGGTAAACACTGATCATATTTCACAGTGTTCCCAGTTGCTAGTTTAAAGGGACTCGGGAATCACAGAACTGCAAAAGCAATTCTAATATTCAAAAAATTCTTATTTCTTGTTGAATTTTACTTTTAAGTTTGGATGGAAGCAGTTTGGTAATTATAAAATTTACCAGTGCCTGTTAAAGTCTGAAACAGTTTTACAAGATGATTAGGTCGTACTTTCTTCCCTCCCTGTTACTAACTACTAGTATTTTTAAATGTCTTGTCGTTGACCTCCATTTTCTTACTCCTGTATATTAAAGATGCAAACTTAATACATATTTTAGATTAAAAGCTTATTTTCATGGTCTGGTTATGAAGATAGTGATCACTGAAAAGAATGTATCTAGAAACATGATACTTGTGTTTTGACAGATGGCTTATGCTCCCCTGAGTCCGAAACTGCGAATAAGGAGAGAGCCAACAGTTACAAAAGTCCACGTACTCAAGATCTTACTGCTAAACTTCGGAAAGCTGTCGAGAAGGGAGATATAGCAACATTTTCAGAACTTATTTGGAGTAACCCTCGCTATCTGATTGGGTCAGGAGACAATCCTACAGTTGTACAGGTAAAAAAAAAATAAAACAAAACCCCCAAACCCAAAAAACTCAGAAACATCCAAGTTCTGGTTTAGTGATTCAGTTTTGAGGCCTGATAAGCAGAACTGGAAGGAATGTTGTTTCCTTCTCTTCCTTCAAGATATCTTATTTCCAGCAGTGCAAAGTTTCTCGGTGTTTATTGATGCTAGCTGAAAGCGAAGAGAAACACGGCAGTTGTCAGTCTTGTGTAAGTCACCCACTGGAACTGAGAGTTCGCTTTGCTCCCGAAGAGCTGGAGTAAAGAAACTGAGTATGCAGTTCTCTAGGGGAAGAACAGTTTTATCCAGTAGTGAAAGGATGTCTTGTCTTAGTACAGGATTGATCTCTTCCAAATAATTCCAATCTTTTAAATAGAATGATTTTAAGGAGCAGGGTGGTGCCTCGGCTGTAGCTAGGTGTTCCTTCAGCACTGCTCACCTGGACACCACCATTAAATTTCAAAACGTGCTCTTGCATCTAAAATCCACGTATAAGGTACTGTTTAGCAGATGCTGACAATCTTGCTTCTACCAGACCAGCTTTGTGAAGTTGTTGAAAATTTGTATGTAATACATGACAGCAAACTGAGTTTTATATATATATACACACATACACCCATTCTCCTGTTCTTTTTATACAATGAACTTCCTATCTCCTTTTATTATGTGCTATCTTAATATACCTTCTTTGCCACATTTTTGCCCTAGATGTAAAAAAAAAACAGACCATAGCTGAGTATAAGAACAATTTTGTTATGTGTAAGAATAATGTGGGTATAAAGATGCATGAGTCTTTACAATATCTTATGGTTTACTGCAGTTCTGAATGTTTATGTGCTGTTTTGTAAACATCAAAATATTAAGAAACAAAAATCTAAGTCTTAAGACTCAGTGTGGGCACCTGTGTGCTTTCACAGTTAACTCAGTTAAGCGTATGGGTGTAAGCTGTTCAGATTTCAGTTCAGTCTAATGTTTGGTTGGTTGGTTGGGTTTTTTTTTTTTTCCCCAGGAAGGGTGTAGGTACAACGTCATGCATGTTGCTGCCAAGGAGAATCAAGCTGCTGTCTGCCAGTTATTACTGGACACTTTGGAAAACCCTGAATTTATGCGGCTTATGTATCCAGATGATAATGATACAATGCTGAAGAATCGCATCCACTATATCGTTGACCTTTACCTTAATACACCAGATAAAATGGTAAGATTTGAGTGTATGCCACTTTCTTACTATTATGGAAACAACTGGAAGGTGTTAAGGATGTGTAAGGGAGAAGGAAATAGAAGGGGACGCTTCTAGCAAAATGAGCTATTCATGAGTTTCGTGGGGTTTAATAATCATTATTCTACAGTGTGGCGGGAAAAGATCTTTTAAGAGCCCTGATAATTGGTCATGACAGTTACTACTTTTCCCAGTCTCAAAACAAAATTCATGGGATTGACTTTATCACGGTTCCAAATGCATGTGAATTTTCCCTTTTTCCCACTGCAGGGGTTTGATACTCCATTGCATTTTGCCTGCAAGTTTGGGAATTTGGATGTTGTTAATGTGCTTACCTCACACCCAGCTATTGTAAAAAATCGAAGAAACAAATATGATCAAACTCCAGCAGAAGTAAGTTGCTCCATGTCCACAACAAACCCAAAAATGTTATTCCTAATTCCTTTTTAAAGTTCAAACATTTACTAACTACTGTAGTAAGATACTAGTGTCACGATTAGAGTGTACATCTTTGATAACATTAAAATTATTTTATGTTGATTGTATCTGGGGAAAAGTTCTAGATTTTATGATTCACTGCCTTTACAGTATCCATTTTGTGGATGTGGGTGTACTTTAGTGGTTTGTTCTATTATGAATTGAAAGTACTGGATGGGATGGGCAGAGGCCAATAATGTGACTGTTCAGAAAGAACACACGTTGCGATTGATTCGAGATTGATGTCTTACGCTTTACTAATGAACAACCACAATTATATTAACAGGTAGTTTGTGAAAGAAGCAAGAATAAATCTGCAGAATTGAAAGAAAAACTGAGAGAGTACTTGAAAGGTCTGTGTTCAGTGTTTTATACTCTGTGTATTTTGGCTCTTTGCTGTCTTCTGTTCTGTTTGCTTTCTGCGGCATTGCTGTTCGTAAAGGATGCTGCTGTACAGTGCTGTGAACACCAGAGAGAAACTCTAAAACTGACATGTAAAACAGAAAACTTTGTGTCTTTTAGATGACATGGTCAGAACTCTTCCTGTATGGATCACAAGGTTATCCTCATAGCTCTCTAACGGAGCCATAGCCATTGTTTTGTTCAGTGAGCCTGAAGCAGAAAGTTTAATCTAAAAGCGAATAAAAGACCTTTACAGAGAAAGACATTTATTTGTCATGCTGGGGAGTCGTGTAATTTCTTTGACATGGAACTTCTCACTGTTTTGTCACATGTTGGTTTAGGCATTTGCAAAAGGAGGTTTTGAAATTTGTTGAAGATCCTTAGGGAAGGGATATGTGTGTCAAGGCAGGTAATTTTGTATCTGAGAGAGAAGGGAGCCTGTGCTAAAATACAATCTGTAAGCAGGCAATAAATATTGAAACAGTGAGTTTGAATTACAAGTAGTTTTACTAATGAAATAAAGTCAGATGGTTAGGTACACAGGCGTATTGATATTCTAGGAAGAAGCAGTAGGATAATGTAACATAAACGTCTTAAGAAAGCCTTGTATTATTTATTTTAGGTCGATACTATGTACCACTCTTGAGAGCAGAAGACAATTCCTCAGCTCCTGTAATCGGTGCCCCATGGTCACCCGATCAGACAGATGATAGCCCCCAAAGAACTTTACCTAAATACACCGGCAGCCCCAAAGATCCAGTATTGTCGATAAGAGCTTTCGCAGGCCCCATGAGCCCCTCAAAGGTGAGGAGAGAACTTCATGTGACTCTAATGCCTTTTTTTTTTGTCCTTTTTTTAATAAAGAACCATTAGAACATCCACCCACGGCTCATTCTGTAGTGAGGCTTGCTCCTCTCACAGACTGTGGCGCTCTCTTGGAGATGTATCTTCCCTTGCTGAAAACATAGAAACGTGCGGTGTAAATAAGAAGAGTGTAGGTTCAGTCAAAAGAAATTTGTTCTTTTCATTTCCTTATTGGAATCTATTTAAAGAGAACCCTTTGACAAACTTCTCATTGTCTTACAGGTAATTGCTCTTAACTTTGTAATCTGAAACAAAGCCTTTCAACGTGGCTATGAATAGGTTTAAAAAAATCTTAACTCTATCTCATTTCTAGAAGTTGACACTGGATGTTAAAGCAGTTTATCACCTCTGCTTGTGGCATTAACTAACTTTTTTCTAAACGGAAAAACTGGTGACCAAGTAGTAGGTGTTGGGATAGTTTTGGAAAAGTACTGATTGCATAGCAGAAAAGCCAAGTCTTCAGTTTTCAGGAGGAATACTTAGATACCAGTTAAATATATTACAAATTTATAGACATTTCTTTGACTCATCTGTTTAGAACATGCTGGACGTATGACAGCTTCAGAAAGAGTGAATAAATACGATTGAGGACTTGCTCGAATTCTTCCAGGACTGAGTTTTACCAAAATGATTAATGCTTTTTCTTCTAAATATGCTTATCGGTTAATTTTCTGTTCACCTGACAGAAATGTAAATATCTTTTATACTCTGAAAAATTTTACCTAGGGTGTAAGCAACGTGTGATTTTGATTACTGAGAGATACTTTAAATGTCTGAACGTAATTCTTGGTCATTGTTGCTGATTTGTGTCATGTAAAGGCATAAAGTTTGGGATTTCACAAAAACCCATTAGTTTATTCCCTTTAGCACTTCAAATTCAAACTTCAAAATAAACAGCAAGAATATATTTTAATAATTGTAGCAAGTTTGTTGAATTAAATATATACATATAAAAATATCACCTTTGCATCCTAGAAACCAGTGACCAAGAGAGCATTTGTCATAAAATAAAATCATAATGGCATGGGAAAATTGTCAGACTTACCTGTTTCCTGCTGCAGACAAATTAAAACCAGGCAGACTTAGTACTGATACAGTTTACTTTAAGGTGGTTATACATCGTTATCCTTACTCTTTGAATAAGCAGTGGTGAGATCAAGGTAACCAGTAATACTGGGAGGAGTAACTTTAGATCCAGTAGGAGATTTATCGTAGCTGGAGTTGAGCAATACTTGTGGCAACACTGGAGTTGTTTACCTGTAGGCAGCAAGCAGCTAAATGTCTTCGGGACCTGTGAGTGGACATTTAGCCAGCACTGAGGTAGCTCTGTGTTGGGGGGTAGGTTTTCTTAATTATTTCTGTTTTTTAAAGGCTGAAGAATTTCGCAGGCTTTGGAAGACTCCACCTCGAGAGAGGGCTGGCTTCTTTCACAACGTCAGGAAATCTGATCTGGAGAGAGGTGTTGAAAGAGTTGGAAGGTATCTAAACGAGTATCAGTATAAACAATTAGCAATAGACACAGCAATTAAAAGCAAGCGACTTGTGCTGAGAGTATGGTTATTACTTACTGGGCAATATCTTAGGGCAGAAGTTGCTGGCAGAAATATTTATGAAGTATATTGTTGGATTTTTACTGTATTTTTGTGTAAAAAAAATAGCTAAAATGTGAGAGAGAGCTTTCTTAGCTTTGGAAATAAAAAGATATTTTAACTGTTATTGATGCTATGTATAGGATGCTTTTCTCAAATATTTACTTGCCTAATTTGTCAGAAGATCTAAAATTATGCATAGCCTACTTTCTCTGTAAAACTGTTAAAAAGATGCTGGAATGAAAAGATCCCGATACAAATGTTCTGCTTTATAAAAGCTGTGTGTTGTGGCATGTGTCCCCGCTGTTTAAATACCTTCTATCAGCAGTATATGGAAAGAACATGCTTTGTTAAAAGCTGATTAGGTGTCTTTCTTCGAAACAACCCCTCACTTCCTCCTACCCATTCCCAAATAGAAAAAGCTACTGAACGGAGTATCGCTCAAGTTATGCCTCCAGCAGTGGGTATTCATCTCTCTCTGAGAGACATACATTCAGCTTAAAAATAGCAATATTTATGGTGCTAACTTTAAGAATAGTAGATGAAATTTGAAAAATACTCTACAAAAAATCAGCTGCTCCTATGTTTGCTAAGGATGTGTATATGGCTTTTGCAGACTGTTTGTTGCGGAATTGTGTTGCCTAGTTGCACGCTTATGCTCCTATTAATAGCTGATAAAATGTGTTCAGAAAAGTTATTGTCAAACTAATATTTATGTCTTCACAAATGATCCGTTTTATTTTATTTATTGCAGGGAGTTAGCTCATGAACTGGGGTTCCCGTGGGTTGAATACTGGGAATTTCTGGGCTGTTTTGTTGATCTGTCTTCCCAGGAGGGGTTGCGAAAATTAGAAGAGTACCTGAGTCATCGGGAAATGAGCGAAAAGGCTCAGCAAGAAACAGGGGAAAATGAAACCTGCAATAGATACAAAACGCCACATCCTTCTGGTAAGCAAAGGGCAAACACTGCAAACAACAGGGTGTGCCGAGGGAGAAGGGGGAGAGAAAAAGCTGGGTGCCCAGGGGAAGTAGTTGTGGTTGCTATTATTAATCTGTTGTCCAAACAGTCTGACTGTAGTATTGAAAAAGTAGCTAATGACACCGTGAATGTAGGAGAATTAGAACAGACCTCATTAGATGGTCGTTATCTTTCATGTGAAGTACTTCATTTGATTGCAGCCCCCAAATGAAATTCCTGTAAGAAAACCTCTATCTTCAGTATGTTTTTACTCAGAGCATTTGAGAATTTGTCTTAGAGTGTAGAATTTTGTAATCCACAGATCCAGAATAAATAACTTCTTAAAATAAAGGAGTAATTCTTTACAGTTCAGGGTGAAAGACACACTGAACAAAACCCAGGAAAGCTCTTACACCTCCTTAGACAGCTGCTTGCCACGTGCTTATGGAAGGCACGCACTGGTCCTAAATCTTTGTGCTCCGTCCTCCTCCTTCCCTGTGTCACCTTAGATCTGAAGGGGCTCTGGTTCTGGGGTAGACCTGGGCTGCCAAGACCCCAGGGGACAGTCGTCAGTCTTTGTGCTTTTTCAAGAGAGGAAAACTTCAGCTACTCCGTACTAGTCACATTTTCCTACCCCATTCCACTTTGTCCTGACTTTATCCTTTGTTGTGGGTTAATGATTGAAGTGAGGAGTGTAGGAAACAGAGTTCTCAAATGATGAGGCTATAAAAGGTTATTTGCAAAAAAGATACAGCTGTATTGTCGTCATTTTGCACGTGTAGCTTTAGTTAGGTTAGTTCATGCTGTTGCATAAATAAAATTATAGAGGGCTTCAATAAATAGAATAAGGCATAAAGACTGTGTATTTGTTCCTAGTTTATTTGATTGGCGTTCTGTTGAAAGTCGTTTTATGTGTTGCTCTCATTAAAATTGTTTACAGGCAAGAGTAAAAAATGCTGCAATTCTATTTCTGTTGGAGCATTTTTGGATGAGGATGATGATGACATGAGCTTGGAAGAAATTAAAAACAGACAAAATGCAGCACGGAATATCAGCCAACCTGTTGTGTCCAAAGAACCTAGCATTGGTGCCATAGGAGACGCTGAGTGCGATATCTTGTCAATGGAGCGTATGGTAAACATTATAGAACCATCGGATCAGCCCAGGCACTATGAGAAGGCAGTTTCTTCCAGCAAAAATGGGTTTTGTAATCCTGTGTCCAGTGAAAGGATAACTAGCGACAGAAAGCATTTGCATGACGGAGAAGAATGCGTTTTATCACCCGTTTCCAATTTAATGTCAGAATTTGAAAGCCTGTCATTCCAAGAGCAAGAGGTTGCAGGAGAATCAAATAAAATCACTGACAAAACTGAGAATGAGAGAATTCTGGCTGAAGGAACAAGTCAGGCTAGAATATCCAAGGACCACCTGGGTAAGACCGGCTATGCAGTTTCACCGGCAAGTTCTTCTGAGGCAAGTGTTACAGGCAAACCTGGAGAGACCAAGTTAAGGACAGAACACAAAATACCATCAGAAAAGGAGAGGCTGTCTGTGGAATCCAGCTTTCAGACCAATGAGGCACAACATCAAGAACATTCTTCCCAGAAATTTCTTGTGAAGGCTTCACCCACAAATGACAATTCTAAGAAGTTATTCCTGCTTGGGTAAGAATTGTCTTTTTTAACACTTATTTGTCCTTTGATTTATCTGTGCACAAGATGCTTTTTATAACATCACTGACGGCAAGGCTGAGACGTGCAATACTAAGCAACACAAGCTGCAGTCAGCCTTGAATGATCATCATCAAGTGCTTCAGTGCTTGTGCAGTATCCACACAGTTCTCTTGCAGCCAATTACCTCAACAGCATGCTGAAAACAGAAGAAGAAAGGTCTTTGCTTCCAAATTAGTTTCAGTTAACTTTGCTGTTTACCATTCATCTGACAGGCTTGTGACTTCAGGATGAGCCCGACTTATATTAACAAAGTGCTTAGTACACTCTTGGGATGTCCTCAGCTTAAATTTTTAAAACTTTTATTTTATGAGACTGCTGTGTAATAATGGACAGTCGTTAATGTGTGGGCCTGCCAGAAAAAGTTTGTAGAGAAGCTGTGTTTATAGAGGAGCATGGGCAATTTGTTTGTTTATATTAAAAATAAATGTTTTGGAATTGGGATGTTTTATTGCCTGAACAAATACCTTCTCATCTAGTTCTCTTCTCATCTAGTTCTGTTCATATTCTAGGGAGCAGCCCTCGAAGCTGGATAGTGATGTCTTAGCCGCTATAGAAGCAGTGGAGATTGATCCACAGAAATACCCGATGATTTACAAGTGGAAACACGCAGTGCAGTCCTACTCTTCATCTGACAGGCAAAGGTATTTCTGCAAGTTCAATCAAATGAGTTGAAATAAAATATTTAGCGAGTCAGCTGCAGAACAGCTTGAATAGCTAGGATTCCAGGCCTCATTGCTCACAAAAACCTTCTTTTGTATATTCAGCTGTATTAACTACTAGCGTGTTTCTGAAATTAATTACCAAGCCTTTCTGGCTGCTGTCTGTTAATAAGCAAAGTTTACTGGTGCTGCAGTCAGATTCCTTCCATTACACTGCAGTCCCAGGTAACTTCAGCGTATCTGTACAGGCAAAGCAGACAGAAGATGACGGTCTCGAGAGCGTAAGTCTTTTCCTGCTGGCAAAGGTCTCAGTTTGCTGATGTAATACTTAGCGCTTGGGTCCTTCATTGGTCTTAATGGTAGTCGTGATGTCAGTTGGTAACTCCTCCCTGTTGCGGATGCAGTGCAAGAACGTTGTGTTGCTCTGAGGTACTTAGGTCATGTAGTGATGTTAAAGTGAATTTATTTTTACCCTCTCTTACCCCAGTCCACAGGAGTTGTTAGTGTGGACAACGGGGTGCGTTAAGTTTTTAGAGAGACTGTTCTGGTTTGCTACACAAGTAACGGGAGCAGACTGCGTTTGTCGGGACACCTGAATGCATGTTGTGCTCTTTACGTGTTTTGTTTTGGATGCTGTTGCTTCTGGGGGCCCACAGAGGCGGTTTTCATACAAGCGGCAGCTTCTGGTAATCCTATCAAGGTAAAGATTGATGGCCATTGCAGCAGACGTTGGTCAGAACACCACAGAGTCCTTGCTCAGCCAGCCTGCAGTTTCTATCTGGTCACAATCAAGTGTTCAGAAAAAGCATCAGATGAGGCAGAGCCACACAACAGCTTGGGAAGGGGGCAGGAGCAGAGCCATCAGATGACCTGTACTGACTTCTGGTTTTTTCTTGTGTTTTCTTGCTTTCTTAAATGCATGTCATGCCACTTCGTATGCGAACCATTTCCACTAAGAGGTTCTCAATATAGATATTAAACATTAATTTTTCAAAACATGCTTTAAAGACAGAAACCTTTAAAGCTCTGTCAGAGCTTGTGAGAATTTTAAAAATATAATTGACTGGCTTTATTGGCCACAAAATTCAGGGTAGGAGTTGGGGACCAGCAGCTGAGAAGCACTGCTGGGGAAGTGCAGATGGTCAGTGGAAGGAGGGGTGCTGCCCGGTGCTAAGCACTGGGAAAGAAAGCAGCGTTCTTTTGTCTCTGCATTTCAGGTAGTGCACTGCAGTAGGGCCATTGAGTAAAGTCTGAGAAAAATAGGAAGCTCACCAAGACTTTTCTGTGAAGTGGAATAGAAACAGGCAAATATTTTCATGTACCCAGCTGATACGGTGTCCTTGTACCACCTCACTTCTCAAAGTCAAATTCTCTCGTCCCCTGATTCTTGTGATTAATTTTTTTGAAAGAAATAGGCTAATAATTAGGGCTTTTTCATTCTTACTCCGCCGCCTGAAAGGTCCAAAGTGTTCTTCTGAAGTGCTAAAATTTAACTCAGGATTTTTTAGGTGTAATCACTGTTCTATCACGTAAGTAAAATGATTGCTGTAATTATTTGACAATGCCAAGGCTCGCTCTGTCAGCCCTCTTCATTTTGCACTGCTGCCTCTGCCAGAAGTGAAGAAACACCACGCTAGGCCAGTGTGTGTTCAGGTGTGTAGGACTTTGCAAAAATCAGACCTAATGATACAGCTACCAGTAGGTCTGTCAGAAGAAAATTATTTTTCAAAAACATTTTAAATAAGCTCTCTGTGTGTGCGTATCTTTCGTAGTTGGGGATGGGAGGAGGCTGGTTATTTATTTATTTATTTATTAAAACCTTACAAAATAGCTTATAGCGCGTTTTCTGTAGTGGCACATCTTAAGAAATTGCCTCACATGCAAAAGGAAGAACAGGAGCAATTCACGCATGCTAGAATCACCCTTTGGTGATTCTGCCTTGCTGCAGATAAAATTGAGAGAAACAGGAAAGGTTTTTACAGAAAAGGGGTTTTAATTTAACAAAGGAAATACATTGCTCTGCTTTCAAAGCAATTCTAAGTCCTAGTTCTCATTGATTTCAGAAAAAAAATTACTACTATATAGAAAAATGCTATTACTTCTGTGGCATCCAAACACCAAAATTATTTTTAAAAAGCGAGGGGGGGGGATCATGCTCAGCCACAGCAAGAGCTGCGGCACTACCCAAGAGAGTTGGACTAAAATTGTCCAGGTGCTTCACAAGCACCTGGGTTTTTAGTTAACGGCTATTTTGGAGCAAATGCCGTCTTATTGATGAGGCAGCCCAGCCTGTCTGCCTGCAATAGATTGTGCTGCTGCCGTTTGTTCTCACACTCGTCTCGCACCAGTTCTGATTTTTCTCCGCTGCTGCATTATTTCTAAGATCTACAAGTGACACCGAGTACTGGGCTCTATTGCACTTGTCTTAACAAAACGCAAAATGACTTCTTGGTCCTTTCTTTCAGTTGGCCAAGTCCAGCACTGAAGGCAAGACTCAGGTCCCAAACCATCGCTTCAGCGTATTCTAATTCAGGAAGAAATAGTCCCATCACAGGAAGTCCAGGAAAATACAGCAATGCTGCCTCGCTCTCTCCGGACCCTGGGAGTCCTGGGCGCTACAGTCCAGCTTCTGTCCACCACGCTCTGTTAAAACTGCGGTATTTTTCAGAGCCTCCTGCCCACTAAAATATGATTCATCTTCCTGGGACTTCAATTATATTTTCATTGTTAGAGTGGAGGGAAAAAAACTACAATGTTACTGACGTGACATGAGGTTTGTACTTGGCTATTTATTTTTCCTCAATTGAGGACAACTGTATGTTAAAAAAAAAAAAAGGAATATTTTGTCTTTATGCCATCCATATATGAGATAGATGACTGGTGATACGCAAGAAATTAGTGACAGTGCAGTTGTCCAGTAGCTATGAATTAACCCTTGGTGCCAGTCAAGCAGTGAGCTGAAGCTGTACTTAGAAACGGTGGTATTTCACTGTCACCAGTTGTCATTGTTGTAACGAATCCGTTAGCCCTCAGCTGCATTCCTTTTGCTGGGGTACTCAGGAGGAAGCACATCATCAGTAAACAGAAATCTTACAAGAGGAAAGTGATGGCAAGAAATCAAATGTTCTTCCACTGGCAGGGGGAATGCTCCGAGTGAAAAGCCTAAAACAAAGCCTGGCTAAGGGCAGAGTGTGAGTGTGAAACCTGTGCAGCAGCAGAGAGGGAGCGTTCCTACCCGGCAGCGCGGCCGAGGCAGGGGAATGCACCCAGACCCACACACTCACCTGGCTGGGTGGAGGTATGCACGTAGTTACACAGAAAAACTGGACTCTCGGCTTAGAGGCCGTTAAAAACACCGTGATGTACTGAGTGTTTTAGTAAAGGGGCACTGTAGAAATTACTGGTATTCCTTTAAATGTTAGTTTGAAGATTAAAAGAAACATATAAAAATTAGCTGGTTCTTTTTTCCCACAGAAGCTTTTAACGTTAGCAGATTTTAATAGCTATTACACAAAAGCACATCAGCAATAATTTCAGCGAATTTACCAGCAAGATACCTTAATGGTCTAGTTTGTAATATATCAGCGTGGTGGCCAGTGATCCAGGATGTGGCTCCTTATTTCCCCACTGTAAAGAGAGGAATAAGGACTGAAAATATTTTTATTGAAAGCTAAGCTTCTCCTGTGTCTCCAGTCTTGATGCGGTAATGAGGTTCTGTTACAGCAGTCAGTAATTTTATTCTTTAGCCTTCTGTGAGAATGACTTGTTTCGACAGTATGACACTGAGATTGAAGAAAGCTTTTCAAAACTCACAGACAGTTTTTCTGTATCAGGCTTAATGGTTGTAATGGTGCTTTGAAAGAAGGCTTCCAGCAACAGAGTTCTCTAGTGGTGATAGTTCTTGTTAAAAAAAAAAAAGAAAAAAAAAAGAAAAACCTATCTAACGTGAATCTGATCAGAAAATTAAAATCTGCCAGGGCTGTGCTGGTAACAAGGGATGGATTCGGATTCACTGATGCCACACAGTAAGTGAGAAAGCATGAGCCCTCCTTGGCCGGCTGGAAGCTCAGCGAGTGTCTGACACTCCCGGTGCAGGACGGGGCCGTGCAGGAGCGGCTGCCCGCTGCAGGGCTCCCCAGTACAGAAGCTGGAGTTAGAAATCTGGAGGGCGAGGCGCTTGCTGGCTGTTGCACACTGCAAAGTGGGCTTGGGCAAGCTTAATAGTGCCTTTTGTAACATATTTTCTTTTTAATTAATTTCGTGTTCTTTTAGAAGTTTAAAAAAAAAAAGTGGCATCCACTTACTATGGGCACATAAAATAGTTTTTCTTCCGGGCTTTCTGAACAGAACATATTTTAATGTCTCTCTCTCTAAGTTTGATTATTATTTGGTGCGATAGCTCTCCATCCTGAGAGAGCATTCCTATTTTAGAAATTAGTTTTTAAAAAAAGGCTTATTTAGCTCTTTCTTTATAACTAAGCCTATTTCCAATGAGCTGGACATTAGAAAGAGCTCCTTTACGCAAGTGACCGGCGTCCAGTGATATTCTGGACGACTAGCTGGGGGGGTGGGGAGGGGCATGTCATTATTTAAGTGACATTTAAAAACCAGACCAACATAACCTGCTGTTACCAAGTACATTAACTGACTTTTTCGTAAGTGGGTTGTTTTTTTTTCCAGCCTGTTCTTTTGATGCAGCAGTCTCTGTAATCTCAACCAACTTTTTTAGGTCCCCAGTTCCTACAGTCTTACTTTAAAGGGTTTGGGTTTTTTGTTTAGATTGGAGGAGGTGGGGTGGGTGTTTAATAATTTAATGTAAATGTCATCTTTGTCATTCTGGAGAAATTATTCAGATGATGAGCAATTGCCTAAAAACCACGTTAAAGCCAAATTCACATGGGAAGTTGCTGTGCATGCAGCTGCTGTTCTCCACCCTGGTCCTTCCTGAGCTGTCACATGGCGCCGGTGCCCTTTTGGTAAGAGTTTGTTATGGAGCCCGGAGACGGACACGAACGCTCTCGTTCTTCTTCCTTTTTGTCCTTTTTACCTTTGCTATGCTTTGCTTTCTTTTTTTAAAATATTTAAATGTATATTACTGGTATGTAGATGTAGACAGACCTACACCCTCACCACCACCTCCACCCCACCCACTGCCACCACCCAACCCTTGCCGTTCACTCTAATTTTGGTTTTTGGTTTGGTCAAGAGAATATTTTTTTTAAACTGTGTTATATAACGTGCATTAGTCCAGTTGTACTGTGTCTTAAGAGGTCATTTTTCTAACACTATATTTACTTCAACTATTAAAAAAAATTAGCAAATTATGTAGCGATTTGATCATTCATGACTGTGGAGACACCTTAAATCAGACTGACACTGCTCGAATTGTGTTTTCTTGGCCAAAAGTTCACTTTTAAAGATGCAAAAGATTAGTAATGAATTAACGAAGTATCATGTTAAAAATACAGAGTTACCCCACTTTCTATTAAAAAATAAACGAGTAGCCACCAGTGTCACCCTGTGTTTAGTTTAATGGGGCATGGGGGTAAGTAGCTGGGCTGGTAACCATGACATGGCAAATTGCTAATTTGTCCAAGCCTTATTAACTCAACTCCATCTTTTGTGTGTGTGTGCACTATGATGTTAGATTATGCCACTGAAGACTTACAGAACAGTCTCAAAACATTTAAGAGACAGGAAGTCTGAATACTGTTAATTTTAAATTTCATACTTCCCCCCCAACCTTAAGTGCTGCTGAAAATGTTATTTCTGTACATGTGCAAGGAGTTGTTGTGTGTCCTACAAGAACCTGTTTCGTGGCGGGGGGGGGGGCCGGTGTAGAAGGGTATGTATGCAAGAGGGTATGTGTATGCCCACACCCAAATAAAAATGCACAGAACATTCGTCTTACCAGCTCTGGTGCTCCTGTTCCACGTGGTGGTCAGTGACACAGCCTTGAACTCCCCAAACGCCAAAGGGCCGTGACTAAGCATGGCAGTCCCCTCTGGCGTGCTACAGCACCTGCATGCGTTTCTGTAGATGATGATAATTAACTCTGAGCCAGCTACTGTCTATCTCAAGGTTACGTTTCAGATATTTGGAGTTAAAAGGTCAAAGTTGGTAAATGAAGCGTTGCCCCAGGCAACGTGGGATACAAATGCTGCTCAGCTGGCAGGAACACCCCCATCACTGCGCAGCGCTGCAGCCCCAGGTTCTACAGCAGGCAGTCACACAACTATTCAACTGAAGAGGCAAGAAAGACAGACCAGTTATTTTATTCAAAACTTTTAAAAAGTTAATAGACAAAAACTGATAAATTATTCTCATTGCATCAACGAGATACGTCATGATGGTTTCCTCTTGCCCCAACTTGCACCACACAACGATCGTGTTTTTGTTCCCTACTAGCCCCATTTTCCTTGAAATCACGCTGCTGTAGCAGTACTGCATCGGACAAGCCATTAAACCTTGTCTCCCTAGGTTGTGTGCCACGATTATGCTTCATATAGCTCTGACAGGAGTGAGTTTAGAGTCTTACCAACATTCTTGGTGGTAAGCGAGCCTGTCAAACAAGTTGTTTATGGTTGGTTGCTGTCCTATAGCATGTGCTCTGTCACCAAGGCAGACTATGCATACAGTGAAATTTTTCAACATTCCAGGTATTACACCTAAGTTACTACACTGGTTTGGGTGCCTAGCAAACAGCCTGAAGATTAAATTGCTTCTGAGCCCTCCCCTCCAAAACGAAACCTAGCCACACACATTTTTCCTAGAAGAAGAAGTCCAGCAGTGTCAGCGCTGTACGAAGGCACCACTTGAAGCAGTCAGTCTGACGTCTGTCCTACGCCCTCAGCCTAGAAAAGCCAGCCCACAGATACTTTTTCACCATCCAGGCAACAGTAGTTTCAAGCAGCAGTGTGCTCCAGTAACTGCAGAAGCTCTGACCTCTGAAGTATTGCTACCTTGAACTCCGTGGTGTTCTCTCTCTACTCTGAAAGTGAAGTATCAGTGGTGTGTCAAGCAATGGGAGAAAGCAGAAATGAAAGATTCTACAGCTCAAAAGGTAACGGTCAGTAACTGGAAACACCTACGGAAGATTGCTGCTTTCCTTCCATCTTACTGCTACAGTCAGCTCTACCTCCTTCTTCAGATCAAGTTTTAGTTAAAGGCGTTTACGAGGCTGAGAAACATTGTTCAGAATAGCTTAAAGTACTTCCTGAGGATGGAGGAACACAAAATGTTAAGCAGCAGTTAATTCTAGCACCACAACTCCCAAGGCAAATTTGTATTTTTTTTTCTTTTTTTTTTTTTTTTTACTTTTTTAAAACCCCTCTTTGCATTATGCTTGCTTACAACCACCAGGCACAGTTTACACGAGCGTTTTGGGGGCAGAGGGGAACAACGACACACCGTAACCGTACATCCTCAACTGGTTACAAAAACTGAAGCCTTATCCCTTTGTCCTTTGAACAGCAGCATACCCTGTTTGTCACTTCTCCTGCAAAAGCTGAAACAAGCTGGCTCATCTTCAGCTTCAGCTGCAGTGCAATACAAGGCTGCTCCTTCCAGTTCCCACACCAATTGCTTTCCTGCGCAAGAAAAATATCCACAGGCGCAAACTTTGGTTACAGAAATTCAGACATTCAATCTCTTTGTATGCCACAGCTCAGCTTCGAGTTTTGGGGAAAGCTTCAGGCTTACAAAGAGTTCTTTTCTGGACTGAAAGGCAGATATGAATATGTATGAAGGAGGCAAGGGACTGAAGGATGTTTTTAAGACAGCATCACACCCCAACATTAACAGATAAAAAAAACTAGTGGTACTGTAGCTGAATGTACTAGTGCAAAGAGACTAGAGGCAGCTCCTGGGCAGCCATCAGTTTTGCTCATTCAGGTGCGCGTGATTTTATCCGGAGGCATGAAACCCGTGTCACCCAGTGTTCGAAGTGCCACTCTTCCATTCGGACGTATCACCAAGTGAGTTATGCTGCCGTTGTTAAGAGACATTCGCAGCCAGCCTTCCGGGGGGAACTGCAATGCTCTATTAAAAAAAAATAAAAATTAATAATTACTCATTCATAAACAGTTACATTAACATGCTGCTCACAGCATCACCTTCTGTTCCAGATAAGGAAACAAAATAAGGAATTCGTTGGTCATTCTGCAGTTTGCATGCAAATGCTCCCAGAGTCAGCCTTGGAAAAAATATTTTTCTGTGCAACTGACATGAAGCTGCAGGGTTGATAACTGGCCCAATGACAACAATGCACCTGCACAGCTACTTTCCATCAGCTGCAGCAAGAAAAAGTACCTTGTGCTGCTTGTAGAAACCCGCTATCTCAGCTAGTCTCCAGCTATTCTAAAATCCCTAACTGAATAGCCTCAGGAGTTCAATCAATTGTAGTAAACAGCTAGAGAAAATATGAAGCTGATTAAAATGTCTTTTGCCTCAGATACTGAGGAATAACTTGGTTTTGGCTCTACGACAGTCTTTCAGAAAGGCTAAGAAATTAAGTAACAGCCACAGTCAAGCTAGATTCAAAGGGAACGGTACATGGATGGTGTTCAGCTGTGGTATCAGATGGCCTGGAATGGAAGGCACAGAAGAGAAGTTAAAAAGAAGAGAGAAGAAACAGCAAAGAGAAAAAGTATACCGCTATTTCAGAAAAAGCCTACGTAGCAGCAAGATGATCTCGTTTGGCACAGGAAAGCATGTTCTATTTACCTGATCAATAATTTTAAGTATAGCAATTTTGAAGAGCTCTAAAGCCATCCACAGAGCAGACAGGCTGGCATTTAACTAGCTCAGCTAAATAAAGCTAACTGAAATTGTTGTAGGTATTGATCAGATTAAAGTTTAATCATCTCTGTCCTGCTCCAGACAAATTATTTTACAGACAGTGCTTCGTTGATAGGGAAGAGGAATAAAACAGACTCAGCTGACTGGATACAGAGGCAGGCAAAGATCCAGAACTGTTTTCCCTTTATGAACCACCTTGATATTAGCAGAAAGATACACGCTCCCCTCTAACCCAATACTGGATATTACTGCAAAAAACACACTAATACAACTTGAATATAATACAAAAATTTCCATTAGTAAAGAATTCCCAAAACTAATTCAATCTTTCATTATACAAGATCAAATTCATGTCACCTGAAAAAGCCACATCCAGTCAAGTGCTCTATTTGTTGTCTTTTCCAACAGTCCACAGAGGCACTGTCCCCAAATTTACCGGAACCAGAAGCATATGTTATTAAACAGACTGTTCAGAAGTACGAAAAGGTTTCAAGCCTCACTGATGTAGCCATTTTCACTTCAGAATTAGATGGGAAGTATTTTAATTTTCAGATTTGACCTCTATCCGCAAATTAATCCTGTGATGAAATGGCAGAAGCAGCTGCTCACAACGCAGGCACTGATCTCCAGCCACCTCAAACAAGTCAAATCCACACATCTCCTCGCTCAGGGGTGCCATACACCAACACTATTTCAGTAAAACTTCACCTTTTAAAGAACACAGATGAACATGCAATCCAACACGTACCTGCACACGATATAGCGGATCACATTGGCATGGCAGACAAAGATCTCATAGCTGTCTTCTTCCTGCTTTGCATCAGCTCTATGAATGAAGTTTCGAAAAGCAGCCTCAATTCGAGCTCCATCTTCGTAATACTGCTAATGGCACAGAGTTCAGAATTAAACACAGCTCAGAGCAGCACCTGCCATTGTCTGCATTTGCAGATGCGCCTTCTGAAGAGTTCCTTACAGGGATGCACACTTGAGGCTGAACTAATATTTAAGGATCGTAAGTTATTTTAACTGTTCTGTACACTTACGGGGGAGGAGAAAAGTAAGCAATTATCCAAGGTCCAAGATGAAAAGCATCACCTCAGACATTGCAAGTTATCACGACAGTCAATATAAAGTATATTAAAAAAAAACCAAACCACACACACAAAATACATACAGGAAAAAAAAAAAAAAAAAAGAACTTTAAGTAAAAAGTTACCACAGCTTCTGGTTTCCAATGAGAGACTGGAGGGTCTGGTTCTATAGGTGCTCCCTCTCTCAGGAGATCAGTACTAATTTTTTTCACTCCTGAAATATTAAATACACATTTGGAAAGGAGTTGTTACTTCACCTGCCACTGCAAACAGGCCCACAACTCTACAATCAATATGTTTTTCATACACTTTCTTTAAGGAAGTCTACCTTGCCTTCCTAAAGCCCGCTTTAGTCTATACGCTTCCTATCCTGGGGTGTGGATCTCTCCAACACAGCTGTTCTGTCAGCAGCAGGACAAAGTTTATTCCCACTGAGAACAGCCAGACCAGCTTGGCACAGCAAGTTGAGTCTTCCCAGTTTGCTGCACTTTGAAGAAATGCATTTGCAATTATGTTAATCTAAAGCTGTATGTCCCTCAATGCTTACTGCTAATTAATGTTAATGCTACATTTTTGATATTTAATATTTATGTTAATATTTTATTCTCCTACGCTGAGGACTGAAAGATGGTTGGGGGGGTTGTCTGTTTCAGGGTTTGGGGTTTTTTGTTTTGTTGGTTTGGGGGTTTTTTTGAAGCAGCACATTTAAGAAAAACACAGAATAGTTAGGAGAACTGACATTCAGCTAGTCATGCCTGAGTATCTGCTAACAGAATTACGTACAGTCAAATACCTTTAGATTCTGTATGTCTGAAGAGCAGGAGAAAAAAAAAACCAAAACAATAAACCAAAACAAAATCACCAAAAAAACCACAACCCCCCCAAAATCCAAACAAATAAAGCACCCACATTAAAAAATCCCTACACCTTTGCGAGTGTACCACATCTTACCCTGCACACAGGATAGTGCAGCTCACAAGAAGGGCCTGTGAACTGACCCAGCAAGCATCCCTATGAGAACTGGTGCTTACGATCCTCCTCCCTCCTGCGCTGTTGCCCCCTGAGACCAAGGACTGAGCCACCCTGATGGCCTGTGACAATCTGCTTTACAAAATGCGTAAGCGTAGAGCAACCAGCAGAGTTCTCCTACACAGCAGTACATACAGCAGCTAGTCGCTCTGAGGGGCAGATCCATCTTCTCTTTTTAAAGATGAAATGGAAACAAGCAGAACTGGGGTTGTTAGTTTCTTTATAAATACAGACATATTCACACAAGGCTGGAAGTTGGCTAAATAGCATCTCGACCTCAAGGACAAGCTTAGAGTTCTACTGGAAGCAGTTTTAAGGATCAGAAGACAATGAAAAATTAAGGGAAGTCACTTACCTGGGAGATGTTTGCTTATAATTTCAGTTGTTTCAGTTGCTCTAGTCATGGAGGAGTGGATAATCTGATCAAATTTTAATCCCAAACTTGCCAGCCTGTGTCCAGTCAGTTCAGCCTGCTCTCGACCTTAAAAATGATATTCATTATATGAATTGGTGACACGCATGTAAGTGCCTCACACAAACTACCAAAAAAGTTGTCCAGTAGATATAAAAGGTCTCCGTCGATGTCAGTTCTTTCCATTCGAAAAGTAATTGGAAAACATTTTTACCTGAATCAATACATATGCAGATCAAGCTAAGTCATATTTCTATCAGCAGGAAAAAAAGGTTTTATTTTAATTAATAAATAAATAAATAATAAAAACTTATTCAGAGACTTTCACTGAAGTATTCGATATCCCTGCTAGCCCCATCCCAAGGGAGCCACTTCCAATAAAAGAAAGCACTGATCCAAGCCATCTGCCACCTCTGTGTTTGGGGAGCACAGAAGAGGAGACTGTGTCAGAGCCCCTCAGACCTGACAGTGCATTTTTCAGAAAGGCAACATCATCTTGGAACAGTTAAGAACCACAGCACTTGGATATCCCAGGGAAGGCTTCATTCCATCTTTCAGGTAGGTAGGTGAAAAGACAACAGACAGTTTGAGTAACTTACCTAAAGCACAGAACGAGACAGGATTAAGATTATACTTTAAGATAGCACCTTAGTCCTGAAATTAGCCTTTCACTCCTGTTTGCACAATTTACACTAAACATTTGGCACTAGACTTCCAAAACCTCAAGCAACACCACACAAGAATAATTCTTCCCCCCTCAAAACAGTGTCGGCATGATCAAGAAAGCGTCCACTGCTTTTTAAGTACACTATTAAAATAATACTAATTAACATTTGAGACCGAGTCACAGGATCAATGAATTAAGATTAACACAGGCAGAAGTTACCCTCACTTCATGGTGACTGATTAGCAGTATTCCCAGAAACAGTGCTTAGCAGCAAAAGTGAAACGTATTTAATTATAAACAACTGAAAGGAAAGTCAGGGGTAATTTTTTTTGAATTTTAATAAATCAGCAAATTAACTAACAGAAACACAAGCCACCTTTTAAGAGAAATGTATCCTAAAGTAAAGTTAGTCATGAAGCTAAAAGCTTAGCCTTGGGGGATCATGTCAGCTAGCATGAAAATTTGCTCAAGCGACCTTAAGATAACTGGAAATTTCCTTTGTGAAGTTTCTTTACAGCTGAGTGTGTTTAGAACTCTGTAAAGCACATTTTAATGTTTGGATTTAGAGGATCAAAGATGGAAAAACCAAACTTATTCATGACATCTTTCTGCCACAAAGGATCCAGAAAGTGGATTAAGGTTTGGCAGTGACACCCAGAATAGAGTCAAGTTACTGACCGGTACTCATCAGGACAGCAGCACATAAAAAACAATTTTCTCAAAATGCAAAGTAATACTAGTAATTCTAGTAATACATACCAAGGGGGGTCAGAGTTCTGTCTTTATCAGCCCGGCCATCCAAATTATATTGAGAATGACGGATAAGGAATATGTGCCTGGTGGCTTTTGCTTTGCAGTGATCTAAGCGTGAGGCAAGTTCTTCTTCCCCAGTTTCTTCATTTTTCTTTTTGAGGTTGATAAGAGCCAGTGGTTCACGTCTAAACAAACACATTTAAAATGTCATTTTTAGATAGGGGAGACTAAAAGGCAGAGGAATTTTACAGATGGGTAGCCTTGCCTCAATTCTAAATATAGCTGCAGTACTAAAATTGACTATTTAGCCATTTATATTGCAAAACTGTGAAAGCCATAAATAAAAGCCTGTGTTCAAAAAACAGAAAGTTAATGCCGTAGGTTAAGGGGTAACCGACACAGATAAATTCGCTGTTTAGCAACAGCTACCTCTCAATTAATTCTTGGGGAAAAAAAAGCAACAAATGCAACAGAAAAGGTTAAATCCTAATGCAAACAGATGGTGTACACTAAAACATATGAAAGCTACAGTCTGCCCGGACAAGGAGATTATAAACACTAGCAGAGACTTTATATTTGCATTTCTGACGATTCAATAGTTGCTCTTGGGATTTTCACTGATTTTCAGTCACAGGTATGATGGTAGGTTTTTTGACAAGAAAAACTAATCACGAATGATACCCAGGAAAGAGAAAGAGGCGTTGACTGATTGTAAAGGAAAGAAAATGCTCCCTACCTAAAAGGCCCTGTGAGAACGCCTACAAAATTTGCACTTTATCAATGACATTTACATCAAATGACTAAAAAAAAAATCCAAACAAAAAAACCCCAACAATATCCTGGAAAGCCTCCAACTTTCTGCAGTGCACATTGAGAATTATTTTGTGCCTTAAACTAGGTCACATCAGGTCTCTCCAGTAACACTTTTTTATTTTTCAGTGTTTATTTATCATCTTTTTCCTTGCTCTCTCCCCTCAGCCACTTTATCTTTCTTCCATTTTGTCACACCACACCCTAGTCTCCCTTTCTGCATAACCACAACCTCCCTCCGGCGCATCACGCAGACTGTTGATCCAGTTCCTCGAGACGACACGGGGCACAGAGGATCTTCCGTGGCGCTAATCTGTGATCCTGGGGGAGGGAAGGGATTTCCCACTGCTGACACCAACACTGCGCTATCGCTGCCAACCCTGTCCAAATCTTCCACAGATTAGTCTTCTGGTCCCCTCTCTGCACTGATCCTCTACTCCATTAATGCAAATCCTTTTGCTATGTCTCTCTACCTCGAAGTGTAAATCCTTTCCCTTGATCTCATACCTAAAGAACAGTTAGTTAATTCATACCAGACCTCACTTCTTCCATTATTATAATTAAACTTGTCTATTTGTTTATAGATTTTTAATCAAGAATGCAATTTTTATTCAGTTTGAGACAATTTGGTCATAGAAAACTGCTGCTTCACATACCTATTTCTACAGTTCACAGCAAGACTGGCTTTAAAAAGCCCTGCATCCATTTTGCTTTAGTAAAGACATGATTTCTATTAAGCAATGAGGCTCAACACATTCCTTAAGCTGTTAAAGTTCAGCAAGGCATTAAAAAATGAAAGAATAGTCCAGTAACAAGACGATCCATTGCTATTTCATAGGATACTTCCTCTGATTCAGTAGAAACTATATTGCTGGAAAGATACATTAGGAAAACAGAAAAAATGCCTGAAAAATTCAAGCCCATTTGTAAAGTAACATAGGGATGAATTCATCCTAGGGCAGAAATGCATAAGAAATGCCGGAGTTAAAGGCCTGCCCTCTCCCTGCCAGCACCTCTGAAGCTACTCGATGGTAACACGCGCTTTGAAAAGCGACAGATGCTTTAACAAGTCAAGAGAAGATAACCAAGCTTAACAATACTTTTAATATAAGCTAGTTTTAGAAAGTTTATGAGCAGGAAAACTTTTAGTACTGCTAAGACTTAAATAGGTTCTTTAAGGCTGCTGACACTCAGAAGCTGACAAATGCAGGTTTCTGCATTCCCTTATAAAAAAAAAAAAATAAATCACCCAAGATCGTAGCTGGACAGAACTTTGCTAAAAAGCAATGGCAATGTCAAGGACCATCTTTAAACCTAACTAAAATAAAAGTATCACTTAGCCCATGACAGGCACTTTTCACCTTTCGTCCAGGAAGACCTGCACATCACTGAAACATACCAATCAGCCTGACAAATGTCTTAATTCTTGTAACATGCTTCAAAATCCAGCTATTTCTAATAAAACCATTTGCAAGAATCACTCAGAAAATATAGGAAAGTACCTGCAGCCCAGAAATTCAGACAATAATTCAAAGCTTTTTTCCTCCCCTCCCACACCAAGCTATCCAGTTAACAGAAGCTTTATTAGAACAGCTTTCCAATAAAGTATTTTACATGAATGAAACCGTATCTAGTCTTGTCCAAGAACTTAGCTGTACAATTCCTGTGCAAGTAGCACAGACCAATGCAACATCCTAGGTGTAGCATCATAGCAGATCAACAGGAAGTTTGAAAACAAGACGCTTGCATTTTTTTGTTTCAAACTTGGAAAGCCATCAGTTGTGTAGAATGGTTAAGAGTATCTGGTTATTTGCTCATGACTTGACTTCGTAAATCATTCCCTGCCCCCAAAGAGAAGCGGTCAGATGCTCCGTATATTTATAAGCCATTTAACAACTTTAAGTGTAAAGTGTTTCTGCCAGTGGCATCCGAAAATCAAAATTCAGACTTCAGCCAGCTACAGACAAAGCCATACCACACCAATGGGTAGACACCAAACAGCAGAAAACTGAAACCGATCTGTGCCGATGTATTTACATAACACACTTCCACTGTTTGCACACCTTGAAGAATGGTGACATAGTTCACTACCCTTAACTGCTGCTAAGTGTTATCTACCTGTATTTGTTCAGGCAATTGTGACAGCTACATCAGTTATAGCACAACCTCTGCCTCCTAACTTGGTGTAAAAAAAAAAAAAAAAAAAGGTAAAAAAAAAAAAGTTTCACCGGTCTGGAAGTATTCTAGAATCCCTGAAGAAAATCAACATTTAGCAGAACCAGAAAGGCCACAACTGCAGTTGAACAAGTAGCTTTGGTACCTCCCTCAATGGGACTGTGTAACCAGGTAAAACCTTATTTAATGAAATGTTTTGGTTTTTTTTTTTTAATTAGGGTGTATGTAGCCCTACTTATATGAACATCTGATTCTGTAGCATCTTAAAAGGCAAAATGTGATACATTATACAATAAAAATCTGTTTGTGCTTAAGTTTGGATTTACTATGATTAAAGTGGAGCCTGACATCAGTCTCCCTGGGGAGATAATTCTACCAGACAGAAGCTAAATAAGCCAAAGCTGAATATAGATATTTGTGCATTCTAGTTAAAGAATCAGAAAAAATGCAGTTACCCCTTGGGTATTCCAACACTAGAAAGAACACAACTAAGTTAGGTTCAAGATGTTACCTTTACAAGGATTTAAGAACACCGACTTGCAGTTTCGTGGTCAACGTTAAGTAGCAGGCCTAATACACACCTGGCACATCCACAAGGGTGCTGTTATTAAACAGCAAAATCTTGGTGTAGGCATAAAGCAATATAGAGATATGGTTATCACCATGTTAAAAAAAAAGCACAGGCATGGCTTCCACGCAGCGCTTTACATTTATCACAGACCTCAGGCTCTGCAACCTCACCGGGTGAAAGCATCGGAATAAAGGGACCCGCACGTCCTTAGCGAGGGGAAAGCCCCTGAACCAAACGGAAACATGGTGAGGGCATCCCTTCAGGGTACCCCGGTGCTCCCGAGTTTCAAGAATAATCAAGAATAATGGAAGAATTTCAACCATATTCAGCTTGTAACCGTTAACCACGTAAAATTTCACCTGGAAACGAGCCCTGCGGACTCTCGACGCCGGGGCGCCGGGGTGCTGGGGTGCTCTGCCCCCCGGGGCTGCGCCCCCGCGGGTCGCGGAGCGGCGGGAGGGTTCGGGGGCTCCC